CTTAAAACATTTTTGTTATTCAAAACTAGATACGTCCTTAAAAAGTAAAAACACTGCAGGGAAGTTCTCTGCATAGTTCTTGCAGGCTGTTATAATTACACTGCTGATTAGAAAACAGGACAATGTGTTCCTTGTAGCAAACTGAACTTTACAACAAAGAGCTCCACAAGACAAGATAAAAACCATCTATACTGTTAGTACGAGTATTTCATACTTGTTTACTTGCTTGCAGATTTGAAATAGGCGCATGCTTTCTTAAAATCTAAACTTGTTACAAGGTTGTTTTTGTGTTGGTTTTTGTTTTCCCTTCCACTGGGACTCAGCCTTTACTGTTTAATTAGTGAATCTTACGGTTTTATAAATAGCAAGCTGATAAAACGCTCACACTCATGTATACTAAACATCTGGTATTCTATCTAATCAAAGCAGGGAGTGTCCTGATGCTGCTAGTTTGAACAGGTTGGTTGCATTAAGTTTTTAAAAGAAAAACAATCTATTTTTTGAACTTACTAATTTGTTAACCAATTCAATGGAGGAAGGCTCTTAGTGTGGGTAAATCTTTTTAATTAACACAAGGCTATTTCTTCTTTCCTTTATACTGGTACATTTAATAGACATCCTGTCACCCCTTCTTTCTTTGCTCCTCTTCCCCACAGCACACTCTAAGATCTTTCCTACAGAGGAAACACTGTGCTGGTTACAATCTCCCACTTTATAGGGGGCACACTGCAGAAGAAACTCATTATTAGCATTCATACTCGTACAGTATTAGCAACAGGGGGCCTTTTGCTCCCATCAGTGTCTCAAAACAAATATTTCTGATCACAGTTTGGTATATGCCTCAAAACTTGGGAATAAAATCTATATGCAAGCATATATTGACTTCAGTTACTACTATTTTCAATTCATTTTCTGTTTCAAGTCAGTCGAGCAAACTGCTTAACATGAACAAATACACTGTCTTTAAATGTACTTGAAAAAAAAAAAAAACAAACAAAACAGTTATAGGTGGATGTAAAACAAGCGTCTTTTAATTATTCAATTTAAAAAAAGGACTACAATGAAATAAAGCAGTTGACGATTTTTTTTTTATCTTCCACTGTTCCCTTTGCACAGTACTGATATAAACAAGCACATGAACTGAAAAGGTACACTCGACTGTATTCAATAAAACAGGAAGAACATGTTCAACTTCTTAAACAAACCACAGCAATGCCTTCCTGTTCCATCACAACTCCAGTAGCTCCCAGAGCAAAGTGAAAAACCATCTCTGGAGGCACTGGATCTACAATCAAAGAGGTGTGCCCAGATTTTGGGATGAGGGCACAGTCACAGGCATCAAGGAAAGATCTCTTAAGAAAGCCTGAAAACACAATCTCAATAATGTCCTACTGACCTGCTCATTTTATGTACTTGCTACATTATATACCATAAGAGATAATACCGGCCAATTCTTCTAGATGTTAACTTCTGCTTTTTGTAATATTTGGATTAACTCATCTAGTATAAGAGAAGCCATAAAAGGAACATTCCCCACATTAAATAATTATTCCATTAAAAATTACTTCGGAAGTTGAGTAGAGTACAGAAACATGCTGCAGGCAAATTAGCCAGATGTTCAGGGATGCTTACTGACAAAGATACTGGAAAGATGCATTTTCTTTGCTAACAAAAGAACAATGCTGTTAGACAAGATTAAGTTGATAAATCATTCTTTACACGCAAGTGGCCTTCTTGAAGGCAACCAGCACCAGAGACCAGTGAGGCTATCTGGGTAGTCAGCAGCCACCAAAAAAGTAAAAAAAAAAAAAAAAATGTTTTCTAGAAAATACTCATTTGATACTTAAGCTATTGTTTTCAGGCCAATAATATGCAAGATTTCCCCCTCCCCGCCCTGAAAAAGAATCTACATTTTATCTGAGGTATCAATACTGAAGATCATAGATGCTGACTGGTAAATAAATCCTCAAAGTCAAATTTATGCAGGGATTAAAAGGCGATAGACAACATGAAATAGTTAGTGACCATTCATACTACACAGAGTATTTTAGCCACATGTATGAGTTAGCCTTCATACTGCTCCCAGGTGAAAAATGACCTCTGTGTGCCCCTCCTACAAGTCCTTCCCAGCTGTCTCACCTTCTTCAGGATACTTCTTGGTTTCTTCCTGAGTGTAAACAAATCCTGCCAAATTAACTCAAATGAGAAGCCTATCATCTGAGTGAAAATTATGCAATATTTTAACATCCCATTGCTAGAATTTAACATGCAAGGAACAGCAGGAAATACATAATGATTGCGTTTCATACAAAGACCCAGGCCTAATTTACAGGAAGAAAAAAAAAAAAGTAGAGTCACACGTACACTGATTCCAAAGCCAAAACTCCAATAGAATTCCAAGGGGCAGATTTTCAACCCTGGAATACAAGGCGGCTGTAAAAGAGAGAATTACAGAGATGGATGAAGACAAGAAAGAATTAAGACGCGACTGTAGATTTCACAAAAGTAAGACCAAAGAGAAATCCTTATAAAATTCTCAGCCATAAACAGACATAAAAGATAAAGGAAGGAAAAGAAAATTCAAGATTTTGTCAGTGGTGAAATTTCCAAGACCTCTGTTGGGAAGAGAGCCAAGGGTTAAGATAATTCCTAAAAATCAGCAGCTGTTCTACTAATCATGTTTCTGAAGCACAACGTGATTTTGAGCAAAATGCTTATTCCACTCATATCCTAGACCTGAAATACTGAGTGCATTGCCTAACTATATTTATTTTGCTTGTTACAACATTTTCTACTGCTTCCAGAATGCATCTCACTGTCCTCTCAAGTGATTAAGAACAAAGAAATCATTTTCCTTCTAGGTCTACCGCCTGCAAATAATTATTTGAAATATATATTCTTCTTCAATGAAAGTATTTTCAAATATTTGGTCAAAACATCTTACGATGGAAAAATCAACTGGATGACACAAATAATAATAAATAAATATTTAGACTACTTAGAACAGTAGCCACAGATAGATCTGCCTAAAATTTCTCCCCAGAGAATAATTTTGTTAGAAAGCACTGGTTCAATCCAATCAACGTGTTCTACAAGAAATGCTTCATTTTTGTTAGACAAGATTATCTCACTTGGTTTCTTCCCCTTTTGATATGATCTGTTACAGTGCCTCATATTGTGAAGTCAGCACAATTTAGCTCTCAACTTTTGTTTGTTCTTTGCTGGTAACTGAGTGTGCACTTGCTCCCTCTGTGCTTACTGCCAGCAAAGATGTTAAGTAACAGTTGTCCTAATGCAGAACCCTATGTTACGATATTCCTATTACAATGCCAAATATTAAGCTTTGTATTTTGTCTCATCATTTATCTTAACTTTCGCAAATAAAAAAAAAAGTCTTTTGTCAGCTCCTGCTGCATTCCTTCACTTTAAGACTTCAGAATAACTCTTCTCTTTCTCGTATTCCATACGCTCTACCTTACTGATTTGCTTCACACGATGAACTTTATACACAAGTTCTCATGTTTTACATACGTATAATATTTTTTATTTTTTTTTAAACCAGAATAGCTTTTTTCCCCCTCTTTAATAAAGTTTTGGCTCTGTTACAGTATAGATTGTCCTAGAATCAATTACACCAGCCTATGAAAAGTATGTTCTGTTTCTAAATGTTTGAATTCTCTGGTGAGACAAATCTCAGCACATTGTATGTCTTATAATTTTTGCAAATGGAAAGCAAGGAGCTAATTAAGAAGTAAAGCTCTGACAGTTTTCTTTGCTGGCATTCAGAAGTGGAATATTAATCAAGAATTAACCATATCATGGTGGAGCCAGACTAAACAGTTCTTGCTGAAAGAAAAAACAAAACATATGCCCTTTTCTTATGGTAGAGATATAAAATCATCGATGTTGCATTATAACACAATACTTTATCCCTTACCAATACCTAAATTTGATTTACCAAGTGGCTGTTATGTTTTATTCTAGTGTTTATCTTGGCTCTGAGTCTAGTGCCAGAAAAGAATATCAACCTCCATACATCTCTTGCTAGAATTATTAAAGACATTAAAGGATTAATGTTATGGTTTCATCATATATTAACCAGTGCTCCATTACAGCTAAGGTATCTTTCCAGGAAACAACTGTGAAGATACATATGCTCCTTGCAGGCTGCTATGTCTTCCTGCAACATACTGCATTACTCTACTTGTCCATAAGATAAAACAGCTGTTGATGGCTGACTCCAGTTACATGCCTGTCTTCCTGCAGTATTTACTGCAGGCCATGTCAACGTGCCTCCCATGACTTTTTTTCCCCCAATATGGTCCTTATTAATTGTCATTTATCTTTGCCAACCGCTTTGAGCTTGTGGTTGAAAGCAGCAGGATTATGGTAAATCTCTACTTGTCATTCACAGCCTTCTCAGGAGTTGGATATCTTAAGCCAGCCTAGTAATGAACTGTACAGCTCACCAGTCTGCGGGCTAAGGAAACTCCATAGTGAGCCACTGAAGCCAGGTTCTCTAGATCCCCTACTGTATATGCATAATGGAGAAGAATCTTAACACTCCAGGGAAGGCTGTATGGCTAGGTCCAGTAATCTGCCAAGCTGATTCTCAAGGTAGTCAAAAGCTTGGACTACATGCAAGCTAATAGTGGAAGTGAAGTATTCACTTAAAAAGCAAAAATAACCTTGGGGGCTCTTTCATTTGAGAACGCTCTAAGGTTTCAGTAGAGAACAAGGTCTGCACTCACAGAACTTCAATTTTCTTATTGTTTTAGTTTGCAAGTATAAAAGTATACACACACATACATGTGCATTCTCAAGTTCTCCCTTTTTATTAAAAAAATAACCAGAAAGACAGTTTTATCATATCTAGAAAAAGCAGATATTCAGATATATTTCAATTACAAATTATTCACAGTAGAAAACCTGTAAAAACACTTTTCCATTCTTATTTTAAATCTTATTTTCAACATATTAAAAAAAAAAAACTTGAAATTTTAACAAACAGAAGAAAAAAAGAGAGAAAAAGAGCCACATTAGGCTAAGAATACACTACACAGATAATGAAAGACATCTCCTGGCTTCAGGGCCTTACCACACAAGTTTTTGAGCTGACCAACCAGGTCACTGAAGAAAGCAAAGGTCACTGTATGTTTCTACTAATAATATATAGCCAACAGCTAAATAGCATCTTCCAGATAATTTTCTGCCTGTGTTGAAATTCATATGGAGAAAAATCCTCTTTAATGTGAAAGTTTATCCTATAAAAAAAAAAAAACCCTTTTACTTAGATATCTTCAGCTAATACCTTTACAAGGAAAAATTACCTGGCCTGCAAATGCTTCTGGAATATCCCCATAGAAGATGGAGCAGACCTGTTCCTCCATGAACACACACAAAGTTTACTCCCTTTCAGTGGGACTCACTGATTTGAAGCTGAGCATGAGGATTTTTGGGAGTGCGGAGTCTATATCCCAAATAACATTAGGAAATAGCAGTTGAGCTCAGGATTTTTCTTATCAGTGTAACAAAACGTTAACTTCTAATAATAGTAATTTTTGAACACCTCTCCCACAATTTTTCTAATTCCCTCCAATGTGTGTGCTGCTCAGAAATACATTAGGTGCAGTGATGCTTCCATGTGTGCTATCCTCTGTTTAGTTTTAACTCCTGAAAGACTAGTTACCTCCTCTTCTATCTGAAGCTTTAAACTTCCAGAAGAATAGCTTGTCTGCAAGGGGTTAAATACAGGTTTGGAATTTTACTGACACATTCACTCTGTGTAACTCTCCAGCTGAAGCTTGAAGAAATTCAGTGCATCCAACACACCGAATTTCAATAGTTTATCGTACTGTTTTGATTAATTCATTATTAATTTGACTAAGAATAAAATTTCTGTGAGCAAATCTCATCACCTTAAGATTCCTTTTAAGGCAAGCATTTCTGCCTCTTTTTGTTTTCCACCATTGTTGCATATGCTAACCAAACACTTGAAAAGCACCACCAAAACAATTCAAAAAAGTAAAAACATCTAATGGTTACTGGGATCAAAAAGCCTTAACCATCAGCTACCTTTGATGCATTTTAAATTTTCTCCTCTATTGTGCTGCTGTCTTGCTTTCATTATGCTTTGTATCAAACCTTAATGTCAGATTTTACATTTGTTGCAAGAGCATCACTTAATTTGTCATTTGCAGTCATCTTACAGTAATCAATGCCTGTTTTGAAGGACTTTCTACTGAGGGATGTTTGCACCATTTGATAAAACATTCTTTTATCTTTTACACCTGTTCTATTTGTCATTGTATTCGTTCCCCTGTTACCTGTAACATGTCATATTTTATGCCTGTTCAGATGATAGTTTTTAATTTAATAATAGACCTGTCTTTGTACCAAATGTAGTTGAGCAGTCATAGCAAACTGGCAGTGAAACTCTGTAGTTTTTTGAAAAACCTAAAGCCTCAGTTAACTACTGTCAGTCTAATTAAGTTAAAGCCTATATTAGAAATAAAGCACAAGACAAAATGAGCATTCAGAAGATCTCTGTTAGTAGCAGATTAAAATGCTAACGAAACTTCAAATTCTGAATGGACTTCGCTTGTAGAACGATCACAGCATCTGTCTTCAAAATAAGGTTTTCTTTCCTCTCTTTTCCTATTCACAGTAGTAGTTGCAATTTTCCATAGAATAATCAGAAACACGCTTCATGATAACATAAGTTATCATGCCTTTTCCAAGTGATGCAAGTCATGGAGAATTCTGTGCCTAAAGAGGCACAGCTCCTCTAAAAATCACTGCATCCTAATGTCAAGATTACCAATGATACAAGGAAAGGTTTTAATAGCTGCTGAGAGACAGAGACCCTCAAGGCAGTGGAACAGTTCAGGAACTGCAGCAGTGAAGCCAGCTGAAACAGTTCCTTTCCGCTCATTCCAAGCTGTTTTCTGCTCCCAGCTACAGAATAGCGTATCTCCTCCAGACTGCTGGCACAATCGTTTCCCAAGACTATACTGTGAACTACACCCATGAATTTATTCAGGTTAAACATAATGCTTCTCTCTACAGAGGCCCAGGCAAGGTATGGGGGAAAAAAAAAAAAAAACTTATACGTGGTTATGCCAGTAGAGAAGAAATTGACAGTTTCACTTTTCCAGTTTCTTTTTAAAACAAGTTCTTCATACAAATGCATCTAAATTACCTTCTATACAGTGATTGGCAGGAAGGAGGAAGGAATAACTGAGAGAACCTGAATCTGCTTCTTTCCCTTTGGGAGTCTTATGAGAGTGAATTTATTTCCAAGTTACTCAGGCCCTAAACTAGAAGTATGATACTAAAGTTCTAGGATAGCATGAGTGAACAGAAATTAAAAAAAAATAACAACAGTATCATTGTCTGTCTCAGACTACAACTAAGCTTAAGTTGCATGAGCTTAAATCCTTAAAATACAAGCAAACTTAGCTCCGGTGCACACAGTAAATTCAAGCCAGCACATCCCAGAATAAAGTGCAAAGCAGGACCTAGGAGTTGTTATCCTTACAAATAACTATTAGAGAATATAAAAGTGATCATTTTAAAAGTTACCGTGCTAGAGGTCATAAGTCTACTGCAAGATCTAACAGCCTGTATGCAAAAGAAATTTACTTCAGGCTAAGTTTACACGTATAATATGAAGGGAAACTCATTCTGTTGGAAGGGCTCCATGTTACCTAAATCCACTCATTTTCAGTAAAAGTCCCCTTAAAATACCTGGGAGTGTTTCAAGACAATCCAAAAATTTGCTGAGGTCCAAGTAAGGAACATCTGGGGAATCTGTTAAACAACAAACATCAACCATGCCAGCAAACTTCTTCAGCATTGCCTAATGTTGAATCCCTGGTAGGTAACCCAGGGACACAAAGTTACAGACAGTAAAAGGGCAAAGCAGGACAGAACACATTATGGAGTAAGTGGCATATGGGAGAAAGCACGTTACAGCTCCATCAGCTTCTTACACTCTAGATCTAAAAGTAACTTTGAAATGAAGAGGGATCATTTCAGAGCTAGAGGCACCAAAGAGAATGTCACCAGCCTGTGCTACAGATGGTTATAGAAAGACAAGAGCTTATAGTCTTTAAGGCATGACTCGAAACTCAGAAGTATGCCCTCAGGCTCCATGCAGAACAAAGCAGGAATAGCAGGAATCCAATGTTATTAGATATTACTCCAAGAGTAAACGCTATATCTAATCTAAACTTATGCATTAAGATAGACAAGTACCTTTACAAAAAAGGTACACATATTTAACAGTACCTGTAAAGTTGAAACACAACTTTGGTTATCTGTGCATTTTCACTGCCTCTGTTATTGTGCTAAGTGATGAATATGACCTAAATACAAAAGTACATGAAAATGAGACCCAGCAAGTGTGTGATGAGCGGCTAAAAGAGAAATGAAGTCATAGCTATTCATTCAGTAAACCAAGCATGATCAAGAGGAGAGTAACAAGCAAGCAAATTAATAAATTCAGCACTCAGCTCCTGGCCATCCCGCTGCTACGCTGCATCCTCCACCTAGAGGCAACCCATTAGAGCCTGAGATGGGAATCCAGGAAAGTATGCAGGTTGAGTGAGTTGCATTAGGCAAGAAGAAACAGCATATCAAGGTATAATGCAACAATATTTCTTATACAAGTTCCTGTACGAAGACTTCTAAAAACATTTCCAGTACATGAAGAAGAAACTAGAACATTAATTTTTCACAACGCTGGCTGACTGAGAAATACATAGCTTCATCTCTACCTATCTTCCACCTAACTGCCTGAAAACATGACCATTTCAGACTATCCTGAGTACTGAAGCTGGATGTTCATCTCTCATTTTACTATTAAATTCAATATGCACTGCAAAACTTCAAAAGTCTCAGCACTGAATTAGAACCTACTGAAGATTAGGACATCTACAATGAAATGCGAGTTAAAACCAAGCTTCCCTGTTGCCAGGAATAGGCTGTTACCTTAACACCTGGGCTCTTGGGATCAGACTATGAGCACACACAGGCTACACTCCTACCAGAGGTTAAACACTCCCATCACTGTAACTTTAAACAGAGGCTGGTTCATTTTGGTTACGCTGTAAGTCTGACTAAACTTTCAGGTATCTCAGTGGGAACTGATTTCTTCACAAAAATCTCAGTCCCTGTATTAATGAATGGAACTGGAAAGGATGCAGGGAAAAAAAAACACAACCATCAGAAGACAATGATCAGGCCATGGGAACTTATGTATGCAACTGTAGGTCATCTTTTCTTTTGACTGACAGAAAGCTCCTCATGGTACTTCTTTCTACTTTGCACAGACTTTGACAACAAACACTTGTTGCTTGTTTCTCCCAAAGGCAAACATGAGGCTGAACTTTGGTGCCCACTGAAAGTATATTCTAGGCATACTCTCAAATGCAGGTAGTCATCAGTATACTGAATAGGAAAAAAAAAAAAAAAAAAGATCTAACAGACCGGAGAATAACTATACACAAAGTCATAATCAAAGGAAGTCTGTTTTTTTATGAGATACTTAAATCAACCAGATTTTAAAAGAAAAGATGGGCTTGAGATAAATTGTTTTGTGCTTGCAACTAGTGGTTGTGGGTTTTTCTTTTATTTTATCAACACAAGGCATAAAGATACCCTCTTAACAATACACCCAATCTTAATAGGGAGAAAGAGAAGGGAATAATTCCCGGAACAAAATGAGCAGCATAAGCAGTGGAGTTTTATGAGAATGAGGACAAGACTGACTGCAACAGTGAAACAAGACTGCAATGCATTTGGGAAAGGGAAAAATAAATTAAGATCTTCAAAAGAATGAGTGCCCAGATGGAAAAGAAACATCTGTCTGATTATATAAGGAAGACTGTGTGCTGTTAGTCACAGCAACAACAAAGCAATAATCTCAGGAAAAATTAATCATGATATATATTTTTTTTAATATTTGGAAAACAGATATAAAAAAAATCACATCATTCCAATAGCAGATTAATGATCACAAATTGCACTGGGGCATTTTAGAGACTTGCAGTGAGCAACCAATGAGACTCTTACACAAGACTAAGCATTCCAGTAAGAGTAACAGTCTAAATTGAAAGTCTTTACATATTCACCAAAGTACAAGTGATTCACGATATCATTTAATTTCACTTTATTGCAAGAAAGCAAGTTTGCTTTTCTACAGTGCTCATGCACTTTATTGGCTTTTGTGGTTTTTGTTTTTTGGTTGGGTTTGCTTTTC